CCCCCCGCCCCCCCCCCTCATCCGGGCCCTGTGCGGGACGTATTTCTATATAGGCACCTTTGGTATCCAGCATGTGCTTCTTTCTCAATCCGCACTTTAAAAATACCTCCACACACGTGGCCTCTGGAAATCATCTCGATCTCTCTGTGATGACATGCGCCTTTTTTGAAAAACGAACAACACACAGTTATGTCGAAGAACAAACGCCGGCCTGCTCCCAAGAAATATTCTCACAAGAAAAAGAGGGTCATAATCCGTCTCCAAGTACATGAGCAATCAATGGTCAAACGGCCACGGCCTACGATAAATTGAGTCCACCGCCCCGCGTGCGCCACCTCCCCTTACCCTGCCTCGCTCGAACCGCAGGTAACACCGCAGCCGCGACAACTCGGCCGCCGCTCCTCCTTAGCTTCAAGAGAGGCAAGTACAAGCTAAAGCTACCCCTTCAGGACGGGCGTGTGGTGTCCTCGGCGGAGAGAGACACCGCCTTCTCCTTCCACCCGAATCACAGCCTCGAGACGGTCAAGGCTAATATACAGGTGGGTGGGAGTTCCGTACTGGGTGGCATTGTTTGTTGTTGCGACGTGGTTGTGGTTGGCGAGCACAAACGAATGCCCGTGCGCCAGCTTAGTCGCGATCAAGGCCCCATGGGGGAAGGGGGGCGGTTGACGGTAGGGGATATACAATGGCACGGTGTTTCATTTGTGATTTGCGCCTGCTGCTGTTCTCCTACTCGAGTTGATTCGCTACTGAACGTGTGACTGGCGGTAGGGTTGTGTCGTGGGTTGTGGTAGAAGAGGAACGGGAGAGGGTGGATGTTCTGCTGCACGGTGGTTATACTACAGTGCGCACCCGGTTGCTATCGAGTGCCACGTTCGTCGGTCGGCACAGAACCCACTTCTTTATTCGCAGGCCAGATAGGATCTGCACGTTACACTTGGCATGAAACGTGTGTATGCCACTTTGTTCTAGAATCGCTCGCGATTGGCCCTAAATGCACAACGCCCAACAGCTTTTTCACCCCGTTCGATGTGCGGGTAACCCAACCCCACATGGCGTGGCTTATTGTTGACGGAATCGATGTGATAATGTTGTTGCCCACGCCATCAGGAGGAGGGCGTGTCTAGTGTAGAGTTCATGGGGCCGAACGGGGAGCCGCTGCCAGATGATAGCAGTGTTGGGGACGCCGCTTGGCACGGAGGCTTCGACATGACCCTGGATGGGAAGCAGGTGAGTACCTAGTTCGACAGCAAGGACCTGGCTTTTGCTTTTGGTGCGGTATACCGTTGCCGTTCTCCACAACGGTACTATAACAGAACCGCGTGATAGGACGCTAATCGGCTCTATTGTAGCTATCGAGTTGCTTAATCAACTTCTCTGTGACGGTAGCCATGTTTTCGAGGGGACGGTACAGTAGCCATTCTTTCGGGGGGACCTTCATATTCGCCCTGTTTGGGGACACTGACGGGCTGCGATGCACCGATGCCCCCCCCCCCCCCCACTCCTGTTTAGTTTCCGGTCCTAGCCACCCGGTCTGGCGGTTACGTCGAGGACGAGGAAGAAGGGGGCGGTCGGACGGAGCTCCCCTCCCTGCTCGAGCGAGGGAGGGTGCTGCGTCTTCGCGCTGCCTTGGACGATGAGACCCGGCGAAGCATGACCTACGCCGAGTTCGAGAGGCTATGCGAGGACTGCGGGATGGACAAGGCGGACGCACGGAAGGTGGCAGCGGACCTGCACAAGGTCGGCGTGATTCTCCACTTCCACGCGGAACCCGGCCTGGCGGACATCGTCTACCTGCAGCCGCACCAGGTCCTCGAGCACTTCTTCGCCAAGTACAGCCTCGAGTCGCCCCTGCGGCAGTACTTGCTGCTGCAGGGAGAGCGGCTCGAGGAGGAGAAGAACGCCGTGAGGCGAGAGCTTGCTCCCACGCTGCGGCTGAAAGAGAACCTGGACAGCCAGGCCAGGGTCACCGTCTCCCGGTGCATGTGGGGTCTGAGCGCCCTGGTCGTGTCCGGCGCGGGCGGTTACTGGTACCTGTCCTACGTTTACCTGTCGTGGGACATCATGGAGCCCGTGACCTTCTTCACGGCGCTGGGAGTGTCGACGCTGAGCTACGCCTGGTGGATGTTCACGAACAAAGACCTGCAGCACAGCAACATCTTCGACTTCTTCTTCAACAGCATGATCCAGCGCCGGTACGAGAAGGGCGGTCTAGACCAGGCTCGCCTCAAGACGGCGGAGGTGAGGTTAGACCGCGCCGCCTCGTCCTCGTACTCTTTTATTGCTGTTTGGTGCGATTGGTGCAAGAAGCTCGCCAGCGATCTTTGTCTCTTGGCGTGAAACGGTACAACTTTTTTGTTGTTGTCGAAGAAAAAGGATGTGCGCCACCTCCACCGACACGCCATTCCCAACTCCCTCCGTGCCAATATTGGTGTCTTTTTTTTCTGTCTGTGTCGTTTACCTCCCCTTGGTCAATGGGGTTTCAGAAAGCCGATTTCGGCCCACGCTGAGAATATCGCAGCACTGCAAGCAGAACTTGAAGCGTTTTGGCTGAACCAGGCAGGGTGGTTTGTCCCACGGCCGTTCGTTGTTTGAGCAGCTGCCGTTAGCTGTGGTGCGAAAACCGGGTTATGTGTGTTGACATGCAGGTTGTTGACTTGTCCTCGAGGATCCTTTTTTTTTTTTTTTCGACGATTTCAAACTCGACACGCGTCGTGCATCGTGCATCGCGTCGCGTCCGGAACTGCGTTTCCCCCCTACAACAGAATTTTGCACGGCCGACCACATGCCCCTTGGTTAAACAGAGCCCCCCCCCCCCCCCCTTCCCAACTGTGTGGTCGGGTGACTTCGATATGCAGGAGGAGCTCTCAAAGCTGGACAACAAGGGAAAGTTGCTGGAAGCGAGAATTTTTGAGCTGGAGTGCATGAGGGACAAGGGGATCACCGCTGCGGCAGCCGCCGGCATCGTGTCCGACCGGCCCACGTGACGCTAGTTGGTGTACTGCACCAATAGTCGTTTTTTTTTCTCGATTCATTGATGCCAGTCCTGTCCTGGTTCCCTCTGCCTCGACGCGACCGCGCCATGCCACTTTCAAGAAACATGGTTGGCAAAGAGGGAATAGATTGTAACCAGGCAGGAACGTGGAGGACCCAATTGAAGTGGCTGGCAAGACAAGAGGCACTGATTTTGTCTCGCGAAGGAGTTGATAAGGCTGTGGGTACGGTTGTAAGGCCCGGTTGACTGACGTGTTTGTGCATGTTTCGTTGGTGGCAAGGTTGATGGTTAGAGTTAGAAGCCGGGTCTCGGATACGAAGGCGGAGATCTGTTTGTGAGGGTGTGCGGTGGCCAATCGAGATCGCGTCGAAAATCCGGGGCGGTAACCTACTGGGAGACACGGTTTGAGCGGTTTTGTAGAGTTTTCTTTCCCAACTGTGCTGGGTTTATCTCGAAATTCGGAGTGTCCGTGAACCCTAGTTTTAGACGTAGACCAAGTTCCTGGGTCACATAGGCAGAATTTTGCCGTCCTCCCGACGGGTATACTTATGCTTCATGCAACCAGTGTAGACCAAGGTTTTACAACTTTCGTGTCATCTTTGTCATCACCTCAATCGGGCAGGTGATCGATCTTCATGACAGGTCTAGCCTTGATGGTGCTTCGGCATGCTCGTGAATGCACTACATGACTGCTCATTCGTGGCTTGATAGATAGAACAATCGTGGCTTGATAGATGGAACAATCGAGGTGTACGTCGAGTGACATATTTTACAGTGTTGGAATCATTGTCTGTCTCACTCAGCCTTTTTTCGGTTTCGTCCCTTATTGAGCCACTGCTGTCATGACATGACATGCTCCACCACCGCAAGCTCGAAACTATCGCATGCCGAAAAGACGAAGATTGCTTTCATTTGCATAAAAGGGTTCTTTTTTTACTACAATGCCCTCTAATAGACGACGCACCTGACGGAGAGCACGCCTATTCTGAGCAACGAGCAAGCGCGGGTGTTGGACATGACATGCAGCCGTTCGGGACGCTCGCTCGCCTTTGCCCGGCACTCAACGCGCCCCCGACACGATGGCCTTTGAGCCACCAGATCTCGCAAAAAATGGATAATTCGGCGCGTTTGGAAAATCAAGGACCTCCGTTCGCCTAGGGAGCGACAAGGCCCAACGGGAAGGTCTGCTGCACTTTTTGGCGTTACACAGAAGAACAGCTATCCTCCCCCCCCCGTACCCAACGCCAGACAATCTGGGCTCGGCAGAACAAACGGTCGAGCCAACACGGCAGACGGTAATGAAATGTCGTCCTATTACGAAAACAACGAACCACTGCACGTTGTTCTCTATCAACATTCAATCAAACCAGCGTCCTGATTTCCCCTTCCTTCGGGCTCCATCTCCCTCCACCGCCCCCCCTCCCCCCTCCACGACCGCCTCCGCCCCACGCTTGCCCTTGCCCTGCCCCTTGCTCTTCGCCCCCGCCGTTGCCGCCGCCGCCGCGACCTCCGTCTTGGCCGTGTAGGCCTTCTCCAGCTTTTGGTAGGCGCGCTCTTGTTGGTCCATGCGTTCGTATGGGCTCGTCTAATTTTTGCACGATGGGTAACAAGTGGGGTGGTCATGTAGAACGCAATATTAGGTGTGTTGTGTTTTTTTGGTCGGCACACTCATACTATGTAGAGGTGCGGGGTATGTACAACATGACGCTGGATGCACGTGAGTTGAGTCGGGCGATGCTGTGCGCGCAATGCCGAATGGGGCACATACTGCTATACACCAACCAGTACTAGCAGACTGACAGATGTTACGTTTTTGTCGAACTCGTCGATGCCGTAGTCTATCCTACCAAGAGCGCAAACAACGATTTCCGCTTCTACACCAAATACGCTTGACAGCACGCTAGACACTTCCATGATGCTGCTGGAAACTGCGACAGTTACAGCCGTGGCTGTGCAATGCACGAACACGCAGAGCAATGCCTGAGGAAGGAGTGGATCCCGGATGCCAGGTTTCGCGTCCGTTGGGGTCTATCGCTGCCTATCGCTGCTGCCTATCGCTCACGCCGTACCTGACGCGGACCATCAGACCGAACCATGAGTCCGCAATCATGTCTACTCTCGTGGTGGCACGTCGGCCGCACAGAGTACAGCCCTCGGAACGTGATGGAACACCCCTCCGAACGGAAAAGGACCGTCCCTCCCCCCACGACTAAACATTTTACGCCAAGTTTTCACGAACGGTCCACAGTACTGACTGGGACTTCGTGGAGAAAGCCGGCGCACCTTCTTTTTCTTCTTCTTGCGCTTCGGTCTGTCCTCTCCTTCCGTCCCCCGCCCCCCCACCAAACCGTCAGTTTCGGCGTCCCCTGCGTCCACCACTGCGTCGCCCCCGCCCCCGTCCTCCTCAGGGGTTGCCTTTGCGCCCGGCTTTTTTCGCTTCTTCTTGGAGCTCGGTGCCGCGCTGCCGGTGTTTGCTGTAGAGGCTTGACCATCGGGGACCTCGCCTGATTCTGCCTGCTGCTGCTGCTGTTGTTGCTTCTTCTTCTCGCGTTGAATCTGAACGTAACAAGAAGAGGATAAGAGAACAACAAAATCGGAATACAACATGATAGGACAGGCGGCAAGCAAGTCGACTCGAAATATACAATGCACGCATGCAATGCACTGGTACGACTTACGGAGCTTGGGGTACACAACATGCTGCGTGCTTGAGGGTGGATACGACCAGGCCTGGCGTGTGCCTAAACAAGACGTTTGCATGCCACAATGTTAGGCAGCAGGTGAGATGATTCATGGATCACTTCGCTCCTCTCGTATGTGCCGCCACTGGGTTTATCTACAACATAGTCTTTGTCTCATGTCTCGCTGTCCGTGTCTATGATACGTAGAATACCCCAAGACACGAGAGGGAAATCAACGAAGAAGCATAGTCTATGAGTCAGCCCCAAGACGGGCCCAGCACGACAACAACGGTGCGCCGCAAGAGCACGAAAGGAAGACACACCCATACCTTTCCACGACTCTTCATCTCCTTGTTCTCGTCTTCCTTCTTCAATGGACGCCCGTCCTGCCCGAGTCCCAGCGCCTTGAGCTCTCGCTTACGCTGCTCGAAAGCCTCCTTGCGGCCCTGGTGATGTGGACAACGACACCGGTCATCCCAAGCAAGGGCCGTATGATTCCACGGAGCCCCCGGGAGTGTATCGAAAGGACTACCGTAAGGAAAAGAGAAATATCATACGTGATTTCTGAATCTAAATGGACCATCCTCATGCTGTCCTCGTCTCGATCTTGCTGTGCATGGCACATTTGTCAACTCGGACTCGATTGGATGCAACTAAATACTGAGGGTGGAAAACAGATGTTTTCACGTCAAGCGAGATTCCTTACTTTACGCACGTCAAGCGCACGTAACGCCAACTCCAAGTCGAGGAACCACAACAAAACGACAGGCTCGACACAAAAACACGACAGAGACGCGGTCGCTCGTCGCCACGGATCTCTATTCCGGCGATGAAAGCCAACGACATACGTACATACATACCTGCTGAAGCTTGAGCTTAGCATGGTTCTCGACGCTGAACTCGACGATGAGCCTGGAGCTTTCCCCCTTCGCCGCCCCGTCGGACTTGGCCTGCCCGGAATAGGCCGGGTTGTTGTTCATCTGACGGAGCGCAGCCAAAGCCTGGCCGTGGTGAGAAAACTCCACGAAGCCGTAGCCCTTGCTGGGGTGGAGCTCCGAAGGGTCCTGTGAGCCACACAATGGCGATACAAAAAGGCGTGTTGTCGTCGAGGGGATCGGGGGCCGAGGGGGGGTGCGGGGGGCACTCGGCACCAACAGCAACAGTGAGCGTCGGCCGGTGGAGTGTAAGGATACTCGGACGACAAACGCATTTTCTTCACGGCGGTAGCGGCGACCAGGCGGGCATGCCACCGTTTGCACTCGAGACATGGTATGCATATGCATACAAACATCGACACCGGGAAGGGTTTTGACGCATGGCCCGCGCCCGCTTCTCTCCAACCACCTGAAAACGCAGCAACCGAAACGCAAAAGGCATACAACGACCGTTTCAACAAGGTCTCTCCAACACCGCTGCAGCAGCACTAAAACAATGCACGAAGTTCTACGGAGGTGGCATGGTTCAATAGGATTCCGCAAAAAGCTCGTGCAACGAAAGCACTTGATATAAAATGAGCAGGATCTCGCTCTCACGTCCGTGCTGGGCTTCTTGTCCATGTCCCGGATGATCTTGGCCTTCACCACGGAGTTGCCAGTTACAGCTGGAATCTGCAACCGCTTCGGGGTGATGGCGGCGAATTCTTCGCCCTGCCAGCACAAAATACAATATTAAAGGGAGGGTCACATCAGTGGCGGTGCCCTGGCCATGTACTTGTTCTTGTTTTTCGGACAACAAGTGCTTCCCACAAAATATTATGCCGTCTACACCACTGAGTTTCCACCGATTAACCCTCCGGACAACCGGACAGCACTTCCAGCGGTATTTTACCAAGTACTGCAGCAGCGGCCCTTGTATCAGGCAGGCCGTGTTGTCCGAGGGATTTGACCGGCCAAGTAGACTGCATTCGGTCATACGGGAGAGAGCCTCGCTGCACCCCACTGTTCATACTTCTCAAGACTGCTGCCTCTTCGATCGTGAAAGTTTCTGTCGCCACTTCAAGGTCATTGACCGTTCGCTGTTCGATCTCGTTGAGCGAAGTGTCGCTGGTAGCTGAACACTCCAATCACACTGCATGTACAACCACAAAGCCTAATTCCACGAACGCAGACAAACAAAAGGGAGGGGGGGGTCCACACCTGAGCTTCAAGGTAGAGGCGCACGTCCTGAGGGTTAGCGCGGCCTGCTTGGATCCCCGCCCTCGCCGCCGCTGCCGCCATGCTCTTCAGCTTGCCGTCCGTTACATGCCGCCCGATATTGCGCACGCTCAGCCGCGTCGGGCTGACGAAGAAGATAGGGTTCTTGAGCTTGCTCTTCTTGTCCTTACGGGCTAACACTCGCTTCTCCATGTCGGACTTGGCAGCACCCTCCGCGGCGCCGCTGTCCTCCAGGACAAGACCTTCGTCGGCCAGGTACAGGTTGCGCTTGTCCTTGTGCCCCACACGCTTCTGGGCGCCGACTGTCAGGCGCCCGGCCTAGGAGGGAGGGGCGGGCGGGGGCAAAGATACAACAGGAAGGTGGTTACTGGTTGTCTTTTCGTTTAGCCGTCGTCCGCGTATTCCTTTCGAGACAAAGAAACGTCAGTTTTGCCTCCTGTTGATGGAAACGCCACCGACACGCGGCGGGCGCTCTGAACGTGCAGGGCATATATGTCTACGAAAGGCGTCTCTGCTCCTCTCAGTCATATGCTACCACCCTCACCCTCAATGATGCTACAATACAACGAAGGGACATACACTACAATACTGTATGCTGTATGCTGTATGCAAGATGATCGTATCGAGCAAGGTCTTCTTCCTTCTACACCAGGTACTTCTGCACAGCGACAAGTCCGGTGCACATACAATGCACAGCATGCATCAGTTTTCCACAGCAACGTTTCCGGGCATGGTCGACTCCATAATCGAAAACGGTGTTCCTTCGGGGAAACAAGGTCCGCTCTAGGATATTACCTGTGACACAAACCTCTACGGTGCGGTAATGCTGCTGCTGTGCCTCTCTCACCTCCTCTCTATCCACGGCACGAGTAACGTGTAACGCGCGGCTTCCGAGGTAGATGCACGATCCTCCAGAGTCGCGAGCATGGGCCGGGTCGGTGGCGCCAATTGCGGCCGCCAGGCAACGATCAGCATCGTCCCTCTTCGAATACTGTAGTTGGGTCAAAAAGAGATTTAGACGCACACAACAACGTTCCGTTAACCCAAGGAACCGGAGTAAAAAAAAAAAAACGGAGCGTAGTCGCTGGAATAACGGGGGTGAGTTGGCGTATCAGTACGTGCAAGGTCAAGCGACTTCTCGACAGAGCTCTCGAGACAGAGCTAAAAGATAACAAACATTACAGCCAACCGCTATGAATGGGTGGTTGGGACCGTTGAGGAGGCCGCTGTTCGTAGCGCGTTCGACAAGCAGAAAATAACAGAACAGAACATTGTGACGGGCGAGGACAAGAACCAACTTCTGAAACGGTCGAGCCACCATTCAGCAAGCAGAAAACAAGCGCAGCCGGAAGACATTGCTTGGATTGAAACGAAACACCACAAAGCACGCATGGTGTGACTGACGTCAAGACGACACTGTACAGTATACAGCTATAGGGCCCCCGGCCTCGCCCTATACCCTCGCACCAAGAACACCAAACCACGGCGCCCTCCTCCACACACCTTCACGAAAGCGGTCCCGCGAGGCATCCCCGTGGCGCGGTCCTTGACCAGAAGCGCCAAACGCACGTCTCCGAACTCGCTGAACCTCTCCTTCACCTCCTCCTGGCTGGAGTCAAAGGCCACGTTCCGCACGAAGATCGTGCACCCGTGGTTGACATCCGGGGCCCGCTGCTGCTTCCGCTCCACCGCACGCTCCACCCCGGCCCCAGCATCGGGGCCCCCTTCCTTCGGTTCCTCTTCTCCGTCCTCCTCACCCTCGCTTTCGTCATCATCTGAGTCTCCGGCGGCGCCGCCTTCCTCCTCCTCCTCCTCGTCTTCTTCTGAGTCGACATCCATCCCGTCACCACGCTCCCCCTGATCTTCGTTGTCGTTGTCGTCGTCGTCACTGCCTGCCGCGGCGGGAGTGCTTGGCGCTCCAAGGTTGAGAGCGCTGTACTTTTCCTTGGTGATGGAGTAGTCCACCGCTGCGTCGCGACCTTTTATCTTGAGGACACCGTGGTCCTAATTGTACCACACCATTGAACGTGTTGATTGAAGTTGTGGACGAGGTTAGCGAGATCGGTGGATGTCCCATGTGAGAGGAAGCGAGCCCGCCGCTGAAGACACCGCGTGAACACTCTTGCCGATGTGATGCACATGCCGACCGCACAACAAAAGCATTCTGGCGTGGTAGGGCAAGCGGGCCCGTCTAGCGAACTGAAACATCGGAGGTGATCGGCGGGAGGTACTCAAACGCTGCTAGCCAACCGTCGGCCTACGAAACCGCAACTTATCGTTCGCCAGTCTCGGCTCGAAACACGGATCTAGGGGTCTACAAAACCCTCAGTACTGACCAGATGACACAAGCATATGGAAGTCACTGAAGGTGCCTCTGACCTTGACGACGCGGGCGGCATCCTTGGGGCACAGAAACTGCACGAACCCGAAACCGCGGCTCCTGTTCTCCGTGACCGATTCCTGCTCGTCCGTGCCCTTGACCCTCCTTCGAGACGTGACCTTCACCGTCGGGATGTGCACCTGGACCAAACAGAGGGTGCAACGCGAGCACGTCTACTGTAAAAGTGCTTGTACCGACGACAGGATGTAGGTAGACAGCAGCAGCTGCGTGTCTGCTAGGCAGGAGGGAGAGTTCAAAGACGAGGATAGGGTTTTTCGGTGCCGGGGCCTGCCAGCATTGAAACAAGCATTCATACCGTCTACCTTTGTTTGCTGCAACAGCGACCGTACGCCACTAAACCTGGGTGGAGAGGTGCGGAGCTCCACTACACCGTCTTGTCGGATGTCGTTTTCCTCTCACCAGACTGTATCTGGGGACCTCGGCTACTACCGGGTGCTAGCCGCATTTTCACTCACCTCCGACAACGGCCCGAACTCCGAAAAGGCTTCGGCGAGGTCCTCCTCCTTAGCGTGAAAGTTGAGGTTACGAACGATCAGGCGCTGCTGCTTCTGCAGTCGCACATCTGGTTCGAAAAGGGGAGGTTGCAATTGAATACATATGCGGGGAAATAACGTCAAACGCGGCAGGTGAAAACAACCCTACATCGATTGTCACGCCCGCGCCTAGCTTCTCGTCTATTTAGACGAACCGCCATATCCCACATTACAAACGGTTTTGGTCGTGATTCACGAGGGACAATACCGCCTGTGCATAACACTCGCTACAAGAGGAATACAAGGGGGCAAATCGCAGCTCAAGGGCCCAATTCCAGAGAGCACCACAACGGCCGCAAGTCTCCTCCCTTATCAATCCCGATTCGGACCAGAACGAGGCAAAAAACTCACCGTGTCCCGGCACGACCTCCATAAGCCTCCTCGCCCTGAGCGTCTGGCCGTGCACGGTGTGGCCGTCAATGCCGGTGATGATCTTCCTCGTCCCCTCCTTGCCGCAGCACACCACGCGGGCAATCCTGCCCGTCGGAAAGTACCCGCGTTCGTTCTCCTCAACAGTGCAGGCGGTCAGAGTGGCGTACTGGAGAAAAGGGGAAACCATACAGGGAGATATGAACGCGAGGCAAATGGATGAATTAGGGGTCATGTAGCCGGCCGAAAGGGCATTCGCACGGGCGTGTGCGACAGTGGACATTGCACGCGGATTGTAGCGACGGAGTGTCGTGGAATTGTGCGAGAGTAGTTATTGTACCGCGCACAAGAACGTCACCAAAACCTCAAGGTTCACTCACAGCATCCGTAGCTACAGCATAGCACACGCTGGCAGGTTCCCATCCAGTTGTGAATCCCTCTTCCTGCTCAGCATGCCACCAACACGAAATTACTCCACTCCTTGCTAACGCCTTCAACGTTTCGCGCCCCTCCTGTTCGGTTCCCCTCCCTCACCTTCTTGAGGCGCTTCTGCAGCTGCTTCGCCGTCAGGTCTTCCGCGACGCCGAAAACAAGCACCGTCTTGGCATCACCAAGAAGCTTTGCGGCCTTCGGGTCCACAGGCTCCTCGTCCTTGCTTTCTTCCCCCCCGGCATCGCCATCCCCATCCTCTTCCTCCGCAGCCGGGGGTGCCGCTTCAGCAGCGGCAGCAGCAGCAGCAGCGTCCAGTTTGGCTTGCTCTCCCTTTTTGTTCTTTGCTCGCTCCTTCGCCTTCTTCTTGAGCTCTTTTTTCATGGATTTCCTCGCCAATTTCCTTGCCTCCTTCTTGCCCAGGCCCGTTGCCTCTGCCGCCGCTATCGCGGCCGCGAGCTGTACAGCCCTCCCGCTAGCCTTGGATTCACCCCCGTCTCCAGCCTTCCCCGCAACACTCTCCTTGGCGGCAGACACCGCCTGCTTGTCGGAGGCCACCGCCGGCGGCATTTCGCTTCGAGCGGGCGCCGGCGATTTCCCTCCCGCTGAACTCCCCCCACCGTAGGTGCTCGCAACCACCTCCCCGCCGCCCGCCGCCCTGCCGGCACCGCTGCTGTCTGCAGGTGCTCCCGGTGCAGGGGCTTGGTCTCCGCCTGGCTGCTGCTGCTGCTGCTGCTCTCGCCCGTTGCCTTCCCGCTTGGCACCCTTCTTGAGCGCAATCTCGCACGACACCTCTCTCCCCATCACCCTGGTTATTTTGCCACGGGGCGGTGTTGACGCCACACGGGTTACGAGACGGGGAAGGAAAAAATCACGGGCGAAAGTGGGGCTGGGTATCCTTCGCCCGTCAGAGTTACGAGCGTTGAGGCTTCGTTCGACTGAGCTAGCAGTTCTGCGGTGTTTCAAAGCCAGAGGTCATTTTCTAGGAATCACGCCCTATCTTCACGCCGTACCGATCGCATCGGTACACCCGCGTGGTGGGAGACACTCGGGTAGATGTGTTTCGCAACAAAGTCATTCTCGTTTTTCACTCATTACCGACCTCTTTCTGTGGATGATGCTGACAGCCTTAGTTGCATCGGACTCCAGGGCAAACGTTACGAAGCCGAAGCCGCGTGAACGCTTTGCCCCAGTTTCTGCATCCGTGGTCTTGATGAGGTCGATGCGCTTGATCGGACCGCAATCCGCGAGCATGGTTTCGATGTCCTGTGTCGGCAATCGGCAACCAGGGTGTTGGGGGATCAGATGTGACGGACATACAGCGCTGCCTGTTGGTGGAATGAAAGGATGAGGTTGTCGGTCATGCAACACAAGGATAGCGCCAAAACACTTAATCTTGATACCACGCGTGCTCCGGTACATCTTCTCTCTGCTGGAGCAGCCACACCAGTACTACTGCTGTAGTGTACACGAACTCTGCACCCAACCGGCACGCGAGACGTCTACCGCATATACGAAGGATCCAACTTGCGGTCGCACCGCCCCCCCGCCTTATGGAGAATAGTGTTCTAGGGTCGAGAGGAGAAGATAGGGCCAAGGGCATATTGAAGATACTCGAGGGGTCGATGACACCCTGACACCACATGTGCTGGCCACGGAGCGCATAGCTCTCTCAGGTCTGTCGACACGTGATGGTTCCCTTACTGGAGCCAACATGATGTTGTCTGTTGCTGCTGGTACCTGCGGTTCAACTCCGGCTGTGCAAAGTCTAGTCCTATCTATTGCCGCCCCACGCACAATTCCTGTACTACATCTAGGCGACAAGCAGAAGCTCGAATGTAGACACTCCTGTTATTTCGTCAACGCCGCTGTTGGTGCGTCTCCTCTCTATCCACCAAACATCAAGGATTCCACCGATCCCTGTCCACTCACGGGCTCCAGCATCGCCAATGGCAGGTTCCTCAAAAACACTTGGCACAGCTTCTTCGACTGGCCTGAGCCTTCATTTCCGCCTCCTCCCACACCACCGCCACTGCCGCCTTTCCCTCCCTTAGCCATACTGCAAGACGCCTCTACCGTTGACCGGTGAGTGGATGTGTGTTGTAACCAGGCTTGGGTAAGCGAGTAGCGTGTAGGATGCGGCGTAACCTGCAATTTCGAATTACAGAACGCCTCCTGTCGTTGTTCCGTGTGGCGGGGATGCCGCGCAACGCCGGCGAGCTCTCGCAAGCCAAGAAGAGCACAGGGAAGCGCGCGAGAGCTTTGTGGTGGCACTTGGGTCGAGCAGCGGTTGTTGCTGGTGGTGCCCCATCGCAGCCATTCACTGCTCCAGGCTTCGGCGTCTCACAATCATGATCTTTGCAGCGTTGATAGCCGGAGCTTTCGTAGTCGGCGGGACCGATGGCTTCGCCGCCTCGTCGTCCGCATTCTCGGGGGGCAACATGCTCCACCACGGTCCTCGATCTTCCCAGGTATGCCGCTGCTGTCCCGGCTGCTGCTGGGCGTTCAAGTACGTACTGGAATAGCACTCCATCGCTGTTGCTGTTGTGAGTCTCGCTGTGCTACAAGTGCACATGTCGCGGCGTTTTTTTACAACAGCTTGCATCAACAGCAGCAAGGTTGACAGCAGCAACCGCAGGTGATATGCATACGATCGAAATTCGAGCATGTTCGAACGTTGGTTTTAACCAACCAGCACACTCCATCTCTCTTACCTTCTTCTCTGTCGTCGCTACTACAGGCCTTCTCCATGGTTTCTACCCCCCCGACGCCATCCACCGCCAGCACTTCGAGCGCTCCACTGACACAAGACCAGTTCAATGCCTACGTGCAGAACACGTACGGCAGGTACCCGCTCACTATCGTGCGCGGCGAAGGTTGCAAGCTCTTCGACTCCGACGGCAAGGTACGGCGGTACAGAGTCATGCTGGAGAGGTGCACGCATGGATCGGTATCCGTGTGTGGATTTGTCTTGCTAAGTCTCTTCTCTTCATCATTGTCAAACTTGGACGTCGTGAGTCCAAAGCCTGCAGTGACACCTTAAACATGCACAATGGCAATCTCCCTGCGTCAAGGAGTAAATTGCGTCTCACATTTCTATCTGCCCAACGGCGGCGCGCTGCTCTGTCGGCCGTCTTTTCTTGATTCTTACATAGGAATACCTTGATTTTGTGGCGGGGATCTCGACGTGCGCTCTCGGTCATGCAGACTCTGACCTCGCAGCAGCGGTGGGAGATCAGATGAAGAAGTTCCATCACGTCAGCAATCTCTACTACATCCCTGAGCAGGTGCCAAAATGTTTGACGACCAGGTACTCCAGACATGTACGCCTCTATTTCTGCTTACAAGCGAAGACAGGAGTGCTGTTGATCGCAGTCGTGGCGTTGCGATGAAGCTGTTGGTTGGACCAGCCAAAGGAGAATACATGGGGCGAGGGAGAGAACGGATTTTAAGATTTTCCAGAGGGTTTCCTGGCAGAATGAAGGAATGATATGTTTTTGTCGCCGATCCGCTCTTGCTTGCTCAGCTTGCTCTCACGTTCCATACAAACCCGTATCTGCAAGGGGGTTGTGCACGTCGATAACGTTCTCGTAGAGTCTTGTAGAACTATAGAACTATATCCGATGTCGGTGTTGGTTTGGAGCAATGCTCGCACAACTTGACAACAGGAGAGACACATGTACCGACGAACAACTCGCATTACCGTCCGTGTTTCGCCGCATCGAGGCAGGGCCAACTGGCCAAGTGGCTGGTGGACAACAGCTGCGCAGACCGCGTGTTCTTCTGCAACTCCGGAGCAGAGGCTAATGAGGCAGGCATCAAGGTACAATACTCATTTTACCCTGTAAAGAACGTTTTCTCTTCTCTCACGCCGGTATGTGGTGCTACATTTTTCCACGCATGTGCTGCGCAAATGGTCAGCGACCACAGAGCGAGTGCTTTTCTCCGTGTCCTCGGTTTGCTGTGCCATGCCTCCCATTTGTGTTTGGTTTCAAAAAGGCGGTTGTCGTGGTAACTGTTTTCACCCTAAAGGGTGCGGACGCGGACCTACCATGGAGTACTCTTTGCCACAAAGGGCGCAATGCGTGGCGTGCGACAGACGCGATCGCTGCACGACACCAAGCACTTTAGGGGCACCTTCCTTGCGTCTTAACCCCCCCCCCCCGTGCCAAATCGCTTAATGTGATGTCTTGTTGCTGCCTCGTATCGACGTTTCACCCCCCTTAAGCTTGCCCGGAAACACGCCAGCACCAAGCTGGGCATTGCCGAGCCGGTCATCGTTACCGCCAAGAAGTCTTTCCACGGCCGGACGCTTGCCACGATGACCGCCACGGGTCAGCCCAACTACCAGAAGAACTTTGGCCCGCTTGTACCAGGTCAGGCACCGTGGGGCTTTCTGCCGTGGATGCTCAGGGCCGCTTTCCCCTGTTGTATGTATTGCCCCAGTCACCGCCGAGCGTCGCGGAGGGGCATGAGGTGGTACTGTACGGTACACTTTTCGGGATGACGTAGGTTTGTTGTGGTTAGCGTTGTGTAGCACGCAGCGCGGGTGGTAGGCGCCACAGGCTTTCGTGCACCGTCTCGTGGTACTGTACTGTACAATGATATGCGTAAGTGGAACGGTTTTCTCGTCGTCGCAAAAGAATTTTTTTGCTGCATGCGAAATCCTCGTGAGGGGCGGTGGGTTTCTCTGTTGTGTGACCGCTCTCCTTCCGAAACGGTGCCATTGGTCGTGGCAAGCAGGTTTCGAGTACGCCACGTACAACGACCCGGAAGACCTGAAGCGAGTGGTCAAGCGCATCAACCGGCGGGGTAAGATCCGGTCCCTCTTCGGCCGACCCCGTCGGGCAGTCGCGGCGATCATGATGGAGGCGTTGCAGGTGAGAGGGGGGACACGATTGGTACTGATTGCCTACGTACTGGTGCTTACAGCGGTACAAAAATACTACTGACTGATAGTGAGTATTCCAACAATCTCTTAGTATCAATATACAAACAGGCAACCAGCATGCCTTTGTCGGTCAAGATGCACCCGGCCAGGATCGACCGTGGGCAGTTGATGTGTATTCAGCAAAGAGTACAGAAGCGGCCCCGTGGTGTGGCACCCTCACCTCAGTGTAGCTCCCCCCGGGGCGGCTGACAGCTGCCTTGGTCACCTACCGACGCCTGAACTTCATGGTTTTCAACCTGATTTTGACCAGGTGGTGGCTAGACTTTTGCGTGGAACCACTGGCACTTTGAGCGAGAGATTCTCGTTTGGTTCACCGAAGCTTCAAGAGCGGAAGCACGAGGTGTTCCCCTCTTTTCTGGCTATCCGTAGGTTCCTCCGTGGGTACCAAACACAGCAATCGAGTCCAAATTGTGCAAAAAAACTTCCGTCCTCCTGTTGATGAATGTCTTCCGGGTGGATGGTGTCAGGGAGAAGGAGGAGTGGTGCCGGCGACTCCGGAGTTTTTCTCGACAGTGCGCGAGCTTTGCGACGAGACCGGCGCCTTGATGATAGTCGACGAAGTCCAGGTAAGGTTGGCAGGCCGTCCCCCTGCGGCAGCAATACGGCTGCAAGATTCTGAACTCGGTGTTCCTTATTGTATCAATGGCAATCGTGTGACGGCATGAAGAGCAATTTTGGCAGTTGCCTGTAGAACAGACTGGGGGGGCATCGATGTTTGTGCGTCTCCGTGCCGATTCTGTGGCTTCCATACTGGTTGTGGGGCACACTCTGAAGCTATCCCACTTGTTGGACACTGTACGTTGACGGATTGATCGTTGTGGTTCAAATTGAAACATTGTTGTGATAGTTTTGCTCCAAGTTGCGCCAGCAAACACCTCTTTCCCTGCCCGCCGCAGCTCCGTGTCGCCTTGTCTATGCGTCTTGTCTATGCGCCTTGTCTATCTGCCCGTCTGATTGTCCATGCGCCTTTTTCTGTCGGGTCGTTTGTTTCTTTGCCTGTCTGTCTGTGCGTCTGTCCCACCTCTCGGTCACCGTTACATTTATCTTTTGTGACTCATTTGGTGTGCGCGATGATGCATGTCTTCATTTGTGTTGTAACTGTTTTTGGTGTGTACGTACTGGCGCCCGTGCATTCGCCTTCGCGGCTCACGTGTGTTGGTGCTGGTGGTGGCGACGCAGACGGGGATGGGGCGCACTGGCAAGGTGTGGGGCTACCAGAACTTTGACGTTGAGCCTGACGTGGTCACGTGCGCAAAGGTGAGCAAGCGCGATACGTTTCAAAACTTGGATGGATGTAGTGCGGCACTTGCAGTCTGCAGCCCGGATGTCGTCTGGAAGAAATTTGCACCACAGGCCTTCATTGAGACAATCGCGTTGTCCATCCAGTGGTGGCCTCCCAAGGATCGCCTTGGCGAACCAAGAGGCCGATTTTTCATCCGTTCGAGTGAGGAGCTCGACCGATGTTGTGCCGCTGCGGCCTGACCCCACTCGCTGTTGACGCACAACATGACAGTAGGCGCACAGAATAGAGCGCTTGTTTTGTGTTGTGACCGGAGACAATGGCCATGCTGTGCATCAGTAGTATAGGAGAGGAACAGCAGTTCACGATACACTTGGAAATTTCTGGTGCCGAAATGTCTTGCTTTCTCCTGTTGGTGTTCTCTAGGCGCTAGGCGGAGGCGTGCCGATCGGCGCGATGCTTTGCAAGGAGCGAGCAGATGTTTTCGAGCCTGGAAACCACGCGAGCACCTTCGGAGGCAACCCCCTGGCCTGCGCGGCCGCTAACTGTGTCACCTCAAAGCTCAGCGTGAGTCACGTTGTTGTTGTCGTCGATGTCTGCTTCACGTGAGAGAAAATCGTACTGGCCGCTCTCCAGTTCTCGTCCTTCATGCCATTTCCATGCCATTGAATGCTCTGGTGTAGTTTATCACCACCCAGCTGGAAAGTAGACTATTATAAGGTGAGTTAGACGGCGGTGGTGTCGCAGGCTGTTGGACGTAGTGCTGGTTCTACCGCTGTGTAGATACAGCAAACCGTGATGTTCGTACACACGGATGCGTTCAAGCAGGTATCTTCATGTGATGTACCATAGAGTATCTTCCTATGTTTGCGGCCACGGGTGCAATCACCAACCAACATCTTGTGTGCCCCCGTACATTCTTCCCCGGTGTTTTGGGGGCAGGAAAACGGCGGCGCTCTCCTGGAGAACGTGCGAGAAAGAGGAGAGCAACTCCGCGCAGGCTTGGCAGAGCTCCAAGAGAAGTACCCGGAAACAGTTGCTGGTACGCCCCCCGCCTCTACCCCGGCACAGGCTTCTTTGCTCACGTTTAGCAGCGTTTGGCTTCTATAGGGATATGCCTGTGTGCACACAGCTGTTCGGGCCAGTTGCAGTGGCATGCACGTGCCAGTGGGCTTAAGACAACCACGTTTCGGAAAGAGCATTTTTTTGTCGTTCGTGTGATGGCGGCATTCGATTGTGCCACTGACTCGCAGCTGGGGTACGGACGTCTGCTCGCTTGGCCCGTTCTGTTGACGCTCTCGCCTCAGAAACTGATTGTGTGCCCCCAAGTATGCTCGCCTCGCTTCCCGCCAAGCCGATTGGAAGCCACAACAGTAGGAACGAGAGCTACGCAGAACTAGCGTCAGGGAAATCGCGTGCTACAACTACGGATCCTAGAGTACGGTACGCATAACCCCTCACTCCTCCCACCCCGTCTTGCGCGTGCTGGACTTTGTATTGCTTTGTGCTGACCTGTTGGGCGATTGCGAAGGGGTGCGAGGTTGGGGCCTAATCAACGGGCTCGTACTCAATGAGGAGTCGCCCGTGCTCGCGGGAGCTGTGGTCGCCGAGACGACCAAGTTAGGGCTCCTCTTGGTACCCGCAGGGCTTAAGGTGACCGCAATGGTTTCGCATGCTTTGAGGTTGGTGTGATTGTCTGTTCGGAACAGGCGTGGTGCCGTTCTTTGGTGTGCTTTTGCTATGGTGTGTGTTGCTATGTGGCATGGCGATTACTACGCGAATTCGTCATGAGACGGCAGTGTTGCCGCCCCATCCGAAACAAGGTCGCGGTCATGCGGTACCCCATTCACGAACCGCCCCGCCTCCTGTGCGAATCTTCTCTCCGCAGAGGAGTGGCGACGGGAGAAGGGGTGCAGAGGGAAGGACAAGGAGTTCGCGTAGAGGAAGTCCAGTCGTGCGTTCACAGCAGTAGAAACCAGGTGCCTTTGGATTTCGGTGGATTGATCTCGTCTTGGCGCACACGTTGAACCAAGGGTTTTCTACTAGTAATCAACACGCACGTACGGGCTGTATCAGCCTACCATCAGTGTCATCAAATATTGTCTTAATCGCTGCTGTTTGTTTCGTGTTTTTTCCTCGGCCCTTCTTCCCTGCCATCAGGTCGTGCGATTCGTGCCTCCGCTGGTCGCCACAGCTGCTGAAGTGTCCACCGCACTCTCAGTCATTGACCAGGCATTGGCTATCGTTACCGGTGCCAAGTGATTGATTGCTGCATGGGGCCATATTCAAGCAACGCGCGTGCCATGTGTTTGGTTGATTGCGTACCAGGGCGTGCTTGCATATGGCGGGTTGGTGATGTAGCCGAGTCTCCCTCACTCTGTCAAAGGGGTGCTGCGACGTTAATGTTTGCCGATTTTAAGTCATTCGCGGTTAGCGTGAATGATTTCGCCGTTGACAGCATTTTGCAAGATGAGGCCAGCAACGTTTCGAGTGTCGAGAGACGCGTTTATGTGGAAACGGCCAAAGCTCCAATGCTCAATCAAACTACCGACTACCGACGTGGTGCTTAGTTCATTGTTCGTTTGGATCGCGGGGTTGAAAGAACACCTGGCGGCCTGTGGGACTGTATGTAGCTGGATGAAGTTGAGATCAATAATAGGATGTGTTCCATGTCATGGTATGACATGTAGACTTTATCCGGTTTCCATTTTATGCCCGCTCACGCATTCCGCGCTGCGTCGGCCTTTGTCAGTCAAGTTCTATCGCCGCCTAAAAGCGAAACTACCACAGGTCCAACCCTTGCACTCTCGCCTTCTGACCAAAGACGACGGCTTACTTTGAATCTCTGTCCGGAGAGCGTGTCAGCGAAAGATTTAGGTTGGGGGGTACGCAGAATGTGATCTACGTTGACAACACATACCGTGCCGTGGTACGGCGCCCCCTCCGGAGAAACTCTCTCTGCTGCTTGCTGGGTCTGGGTCTGCACAACCCGCAGCTAAATCGCACGTGCTCTCCAGCACACGCGCTTGCTCACGATGAAAGATGCCCTGCCCCAGCAACAAGTTCTGCGGAATGAGTCTCACGAGCACGTCCCGTCCGTCGAAGAGGAGCTGGACGAATACATGATGCTCAGAGAGGTGAATCAAATAGGTGTAAAAAAAAGGGGTGCTGGATGGAATGTTCATCTCCCAAACGCAACCTTGAAGGTGACTTCAACTGCTGTGCGCGGGAGAGACTCGCGTGGGAGGGTGGGAGTGCTCCGCGTGGCGAATGCTTGCCTGTTTGTCAGCGGGAAATAACCGCATGATGTTTTTTTTGCTTCATGACATAATCTCAAAGCAACACAACGCTGTTGCAGGCAAGAACAAGCGATTTGTATGTGTGACGACGGTTGACAACACCCCTCCGAAGGTTGATTCGAGGTAACCTGCTTAAAGTAAACACGGCATCAAGACATCAAGACGGATATCATGTGTGATAGTGGCACGCACCAGATATGATCGCGAGTAAAACGTGTTTGAGATGAGACAATTCTAGAACAATTGCACCCACATGGAAAATGCAGCAGTGGACCTGTCACAGCGAACTTCTTCCGCATTCCCCGGCTGGGCAGGGAAAAAGGCAAGAAAAGACCATGACGCCCGACGAACATTGCTTTCTCGTGCCCAGGTGTCAGGCCAGTACCCTCGTGAAGACGAGGCTCGCTCGTATATAGTTAAGCGTCGCCAGCGAGGACTTCTTCTGAGCTTCACGGCGATGGTTTTTGTCAGCCTTGCGAACAAGGTTTTCCAAAAGGTGAAGAGTTGGTATGCATATGTTTCGTTCCTTCTCTTGCCTTTGAGCAGTGGCGATGATTACCAGTTCATCAGCAGGACACATCCACCTGTAGATGCCGGTGCCAGAGTCAGCAGCGGCAGCAGAGCTTTGCCGTTTCGCCGTCTGCATGTGTATTCGCTTCAGGGCGCTTGCTGTTGATCTTCCCCTCGCGGGAAAAATCCTCTCAGTCCAAGCATCCCCGGTCCATACATTTGTTGTCCCCTCTTTTGTTGCCCGCCCTTGTTGCCGATTGATCCAGCTGGAGACGATCCCGATGTACAACTACCCCAATTTCCTGAACCTCTTCACGACGTTCGTATGTGAGTGTGGGACTAGGCGGATAGCCCAGATTCTAAATACAGCAAAGGGTAATATCTTCTCGTTGGCACGTTGATTTGTTCGCCCACTCTGAAGCATGCGAGCAAATGCAACGTACGCGTACGCAATGAACTAGGAGAGTTCCGTTGCAACCAAGTACGGGTCGATCACCATAACCCTCGCAAGATATCGCGAAACGCGCCTGCGTTCCGCAAGCTCTGGCTGAGAGAGAATGCTGCAGCGCAAGCTTTCGTAGACATCACTCCCTCTGGCGGATATATACTTGAGGCCTGACGAAAACGGCGTGAATCTCACGGTCCCGTTTTGAGGGCGCCGGGAGTCACTGAGGAATGTAACTGCTGAGGATGCTATGGGGTTTTTCATGCGCGAGCAATGCATCGGGCAACTCACGTAGGTTTGGGGATTGCACCTGTCGCAGCTGCGGCCTGCCGTGCAGCCGCTACGTTTTCATGCATCATGCAAGGCCCCGAATCGTGTGCTGTGGGATATTGCCCTTCGACATCTCATCTGACTTGGTACTGCTACCGCACGTCGCCCACACACCGCCTCTCCCATCTTATAACATCTTTGCCGTGATTTTGCCATTCCCTCCCATGCTGAACGGAGATCGCTGCAACATCATTCCAAAATTTTTGTTTTGCGTGTTTCCCGTTCACCTTCCCTCCCTTGGCGCAGACATCCCGTTCAGTTTCGCGTACATCATCCCCATGATGCGATACGGTGACACCATCACGCCCGAGCAGACCAGCGTGCCCAAGAGAGTGTTCGCCGTCATGGGCGCGCTGGACGGCGTCAGCGGCATCATGCAGATTTTCGCGTCCACCTACCTAGGAGGGTCCCTCATCATCCTCCTCACCCAGGTCTGGACAGACAGCCAGAATTGATACGCTTAAGTGTTGCTTATCCTGTCAAGGGGTCGATGGCGTGTGCAGCACTGCACTGCTGTACAGGCGTTGCCTATGCATCTTTTGTGAAGAGGTTTTCGGAACCGACCATGTGTTTACTATGGGCTGCGCGGCCGGGGGGGCTTGAGCGCCCCGTCCTCCCTGTGTAGTGTTCAAACTGAATGCACAAGATGGGGAGGGTTTGAAATCGCCAACATGGTGTGGTCTCGCAGTTAGATCGACTGTTCCTGTTATCATTGTTTTCTCCACGGCCTGTACGCAGGTGGCTCATAGCCCGCTCTACGTGATGGCCGCGGTGTTTTGACTCTCTCGAACTTTGAACTTGATAGTTGTATGCATGTGCCTCCCCGCATATTTCCAGGCTGCGATCCCGATCTCAATGGTGACCTCCAAACGTTTGACGGGGGCTCGCTATTCTGTTTCGCAATACACCGGCGCAACGGTTGTGGCTGCGGGGATCGTGATCGCCATTGGCCCGAGCCTAGCGGTTGGCTCCAGCAGGTGCAAATCCGAAGAGAAATGACTGAAATTGACTGAAATTGACGTATGTTGTAGTGTTACAGTAGTACTTGTACCACCTCTGCACAGGGGTGGCCTTGACTTGACTTGTGGTGTACTTCATGCGGAAGGTACGTCCACCTCGGGATCACACAGAGTATAATTTAGCTTCAACAACTGGAACACCCTAGGCGTTACTTTTCAGGTTTGGCCACAGAGCAGACTTTGGCGATAAGCTAGATTGAGGAGCAACACGCGAACCGTTAATGGTTGGTTTTGCTGCTTCGCAGCAACAACAGCAACACACATCGCGGCTCCACACGACCCATCACACAGGACTCAAAACACGCCGCGTTCTCGCAGCAGAATTTTGAGACGTGGCTGTGATGGGTGGCGTGTTGCCCGGATGTGGCTGTAGGTTGAAGAACAAAAACGAGCTCTATTTGTCTTCCTCCCTTCACAGCGGTGGTGGACAGGAGTTGGTTTGGTCGATGGTGCTGGTGGCCTCCTGCTTACCCATGGCGCTCTCAAGCGTGTACAAGGAGATGGCTCTCGGCGAGTCCGAGCTCGACCCCATCTACCTCAATGGGTGAGTGAGAATTCCTCAATGGATAGCAGTGAGAATACCTCAATGCGTGAGTGAGCATACGCCAATGGGTAAGTGAGAGTACCTCAATGCGTGAGTGAGAATACCTCAATGGGTGGTAGTGAGAATACGTCAATAGATCGTAGTGAGATACCCCAATGTGTAAGCGAGAATACCTCAATGCTTGAGTGAGAATACCTCAATCGGCGAGTGAGAATTACTCTATGGGTAGTAGTGAGAATACCTCAATAGATAGTGAGATACCCCAATTTGTAAGTGAGAATACCTCAATGGATAAGTGAGAGTACCTCAATGGGTAGCATTAATTGTGAGAATGTCTCAATGCGTGAGTGAGAATACCTCAACGGGTGGGTGATAACTCGAGCGGCGGAAGATCTAGCTGTATCTCCACATTGTAAAGCTTGCCGTTGAGTCTCTTGTGTTGTTGCTGCTGCTGCTGCTGCTGCTGTTGTTGTTGTGCCATGGACTATCTACGAACAGCCGAGGCGATCTCATCCCCAGCACTAACGTTGTTGCTGCTACGTTTGGTTGTGTGGTCGTGTGTCTTTGACACGGGGCACCGTAACTGGTGACACGATGGTGTTGCCTGTAGTTCGTTTCGGCGTTGCTCTGCGGTGGTTTCTCAACCTACTGCGGTGCAACAAGCTCGAAATCCTCAGTGCGGCATGTTTTTGGACATTCCGAGTGCGACCCCAAGTCGCCAGCCAAAAGCACTACTGTATATATCCTGATTTTTCCGACAAAATATCGCCGGAGAAGACGACAACTCCAATTTGATCTTTTGAGTCTGAGCGATGGGCTCTTGTTCTTTCTCTCTCTCTCGCGCGCGCGCTCTCCCGCTCTCCCGCTGACGTCTGCTCCTCGTCCAGCTTACCAGTTTTTTTGGGGGGTCATGTTGTCCGCTTGCTCGATTGAAAACACGTTGCCGTTTGGGTGCAACTACGTCTGTCCTGCGAGCTTCGTTTTTTGTGTTGGCCTGTGACGGCAGAACAAGGGGTATCTGATCGAAAATGCCAAATTCACTAGTCTGTTGGCGTGAAGACATCAACAACAGGCGGCGAGACGATAAAACCAGACCTCCTCGATTTCACCACACGCCGTTTCCGTTCCCTCGCGGTCCTTCCCTACCGTTTCAAAACCCTCGCCCACTCTGGTTATCCTGTGTGCATGTGCAGCTGGGTGGCCGTTTTCCAGTTCCTGGTCTGCATACCGTTGGCAGTGCCAGCGGCGCTAGCGGGTGACCCGGCGATCTCCCCCCTGGAGCTGCCGAAGAACCTCTGGGATGGGTGGATGTGCTACTTGGGCTACAACTCGGTGATGATTGGGGAGCATCCGGACAACTGCTGGCCCGACAGTCCGCTCTATGTCACCCTCTACCTGATGGTGAACATCACCTACAACATCCTCATCACCTTGGTGAGAGCGAAGAGACAGACGACGGCTTGGTCGTGCTTCGCGAGGTTGGTGCATTCGTTGCTCCACAAGCCACAACGCCGCCGTTAGTTTCGCCGGCACCGCTGGAGACCATGCGCGTGCGACCATCGCCGTTCTGTCACAAGCTAGCCTCAGGGATGTGGATAGAGTGTAGCACATGGTACGGCAATTTTAGGGCAACATTGCTTGGCTTTTGTAACGCCGCGAGATGCTCGTTTTCTCCCTATCTTACCTCCATTCACGGTGCATGAATACGTAGGGGTGGAACCCCAGAACATCATGCTCCTGCGTTCTTGAACAGCAACTGATTGTGCGCCAATGCCACCGTCTCTTGCACACACACGGATCTTGTCGCCCGCCTGCTGATGCCGTGTCCGCCGTACTCTTCTTGTTCTATGTCCTTGCCGGCGCGATGGCAGATATTGAAGTACGGCGGCGCTAATGTGCTGTTTCTGGCGATGACGATCTGCGTGCCCCTGGTGAGAAACGTTAACGTTTCCTCAATGGTTTTGTCCCCGGGCAAGGGGTTGTGTCGTGGGGCCTGCCTAAACTAACCAGATTTGTGTCTCGTCAGTCACGTAGAAGGGTTTTGGGGGGTGGGTGGTGAAGACGAGACAAGAGACTGATTCGAGAGTTGCTAATTTCCTTCAGGTTTCCCGTGCGGTAGAGAGAAGGAGAGAGAGAGTGTGTGTGTGAGAGAGAGAGAACGAATAGGCAGAGACGAGTGTGCGATTTCTCATCAAAGTAATTTTCAACTTCACCTAAGCCTATGAGCCACACTCCACGTCCGGTCAGTGCTTCTTTTTTCAAGGGAGGCGAAGCCACACTTTCTTCAGGCTCACTTCTAATATAGCGGCGATGGGTGTAAGCACGCACAACATGCAGTCTCCATCGCCATGTCTCTAGTTGCAAACGTTTTATATACTTGTACCTCACAAGCTGGTTCACGGTGAACGCCCTAACGTTTTTGTCTCGAAAGTTCAGGTTGTTTCTGTCAGTCCATTTTTTTGTCTGATTTTCGTTGCGGAGGGTGTTTCGACTCCCGAGCCTCAACTTGGACGTGCCGCTTGCCTCCTTGTTCTTCTACAGGGAAACGTCATCTTCGCGCTCCCTTTCGTGCCCGGGCACCAACCCCTTCACGCCACGGACATCCTCGGGCTGATTTTCGTCATGACGGGACTGGTTTTGTACCGCTTCGGCCCGGCGCTCCACCACTTCTTCGGCCGAATCGAGGCCGGCAGTGACCGCGTCGCTAAGGTCGCCTCTTCCATAAGAGGCCGCGGTTCGGGTCCGCCGTACGCCGCGGGAGATCACCGCGAGCCTCTTCTCGATCTGGCGGAAGAAGGCGACCAAGGGGACAGGGGTTTCTATGACAGGAGAAGGATGGAGGCGGGGAGAGGGGCGCAGGGGAGGAGGGATCATACGAAGAAGGTCCCGAAGCCGGTTGACGACGAGTGGGAGATGTGACCTGCTGTTGTCCACGGACGCTAGAGCTTTTGGATAGGGAGGAAGGTTGGCCAAGAACGGCTGTGCTTGCCGGATGGTAGATAGTCAGCGTTTTGGACGGGGGGCGGGGGGCGGCAGGGAGAAACGCGAGCGCGCGGAGGTTGGGCAGACACGCGTGCTCTTTCGCCTCATCATCCATTGAGCATCGTGCACCATACGCACATGCCATATGTACATACAGATTTGTTTTGTCGGGTCGTTGGTTGTGGAGAAGAGTAGCCGTTTTTTCCAGAAGATTTTGACCGCTTCGAAACTACATCTGCAAAACGCCACGTCAGCAGGTAATCGGTGCATGCATGTGTTTTCACGTCCTCGGCGTGCTTGTCACACGCTTGAGCAACAGCACGTCTCCACGTCCTGCCCGAATTACTTAGTGTTATCGACTTGTCAAGGTCAGCGGTGTGGATAATATGCATGTATATGCATTCAAAACGCGCAGAGGGTTTGGTTTGATTATGTTGGGAATCGGTATAACTTGGCGTTAACATTGATTGATTGTTGGTTTGTCAAGGGGAAGGGGGGCGTACGTCGTGTGTCCGTCATGCCTGATTCAACGAATTCATTTGTACGTGGTAGAAAAACCAATGGGCAACTAAGAGTATTTTACGTACGTTCATTCGCGTGCGTGCGTCCTTTCGGTGCATGAGTCGCTGAAGAAGTAAATATGTTTGCAGGTTCTCGAGTTCTGAGCGTAGCGATACATGTAGAAAGGCTCCGAAAGAAGGCCCCAGCCGTCGTTGTTGCTGTGATTTGCTTAGCATGTTGCGACGCATCGATTAGGCCGCAAGTAGATTACGAACGAAAGTTTTTCTTGTGTAGCCACGAAGCGTTGGGTCCAAAGAACGTTGCATGTTATTTGTCTTTTTGCGTTCGTTTCTTCGTTTCTTGCTTCTCCCTGCAGGTTTCTACCCTGTTTGGGATTTGAGCACAAGGATGGATATCTAACGGTGCATGCGGTAGGTCTTGGGGAAATAGTATGTATTTGCTGTAAAGACTTCAAGACCTCCCTTCGACTGCTGCTCTGGTTATATCTCGCACGGGTAGTATTTCTGTGTTTTTTCGTTTTCTGGTATTTTCCTAAAAATACTGATCTTTGGTGGGAGGTGCAACTACCTGGGTGGGAAATAGCTTAGATTAGTCCGAGGGGATGAGAGTCTTCACCACCCCTCCCCACCCAAGGGGCCCTCCATCTGGAAACGTCGGAACACCCCACCCTGGGCTACGCTTCAATCTAGGTCGTGGGGGGGGAGGGGGGGGGATGG